GATGGCGCACACAGCAGCAAGCTCAGACAGCGATGACAGTTTAATTTTGAACGTGTCTGAGAGCTCATATGAGGCTGAAGGATCGCTTTATGTTGTATCTGTTAGAAGTTTAGGAATTAGGTGCGTCAATATGGGCGATCATACGGTCATGTAGCCAGTGGTGGAATGGGACTAAAAATCATCCCGGGACTCTCGACCGGCCCACTTCGGTACTGCTAGTAAATTGTCAACGGGGGGAGTGGGGGATGTCAGGGGCGGCGGGTGCTGTAGATAGTAAATGTAAATATGTAAATATTTGTGTCACTGCATCCTGGTAAAATACAAATATAATGCAATGTCTGTGTCTTTGACATTAGCGCTGCTAGCCACCTGTGCCCTGTACTACGAAGCCAGTTCAACATACCCTGGATATGTTTGAGTAACAAACAAACTAACAACAACAAACTAACAAACGAGATCTCGCTAAGCGGTCCTACGACGCTGGTTATCAACTCGGTAAATCAAGCCAGGGTTTCTCTCTCCAGCTGAGAGCGCGTTCCCGTCTAAGACACGAGTGGATCTGACTTTAATTACATTTTACTCGAGTGTTTCGTCAACATAATGTGTTGCTTAAAATAATACTTCTACATACAGTATGTGACACTGTAAGTGTTGCACGGCCAGATACGGCTGGAGAAGCTGACAGGAAATATATGATATTTTATGATATTATATGATCGATGATCTGATTGATGATGTAATATGAATGATAAGTGCGACACGTCGGCGTCTTCTCTGCATACGACAGTTTAAACTGTATTTCCTTTATCCTGTAATATGACTTGAGAGATTTAAACTCCGCACACTGAGTTGATCTCTTTTCTATAGACGCCGGAGGCGGGCAGCGTCAGGTAAAACAAGTTATTTAGCCTTCCCAAACCTGAGCCTCACGCGCCGCCTATGGGGGATGTGCTAGTGACTTATCCGACCGGCCCACTTCGGTACCGGCCCATCGGGATTCGTCCCGATGGCCAGTCCGCCACTGCACCCAGCCCAGGTAAACTGTCAACGGCGGGAGCCTCGCTGCGGGGAAACGGTGGACCTAGTGTCCCGATCGGAGTGGGAATAATAATAATAATCCGTGCATTTTATCCATTAATTTCCCCAACATTGAGGTAAAAAAACCACACGTTTAATCCATGTTGGTGTACAACTACAAAAAGCATCGGTTTGTTTTCTCATCAGGAAATGCAGAAACAAACGATTTTTAATCATCATTCTCACGATCATTTCATGTATCATATGTTCGCCGAATTGACATGAAAGCACTAATAAATGTAGTTTCATCCACTTGAGTTTACAACTACAAAAATAATCGATTTGTTTTTATATCACATCCGACGGGAGGAAATTCAGCAGCTCTCACTACCGATTTTTAATCCTAATGTAATCATCATCTTCACCACGATCATTTATGTTTATGTTCGCCGAATTGACATGAAAGCACTGACAAATATGAATATACTGTAGTCAACTTCATTAAAACGTTATGAACGTGCCTAAACTCAGTAATTCACCATTTCTACGCATGACAACACACTTTGTCCGTGTTTGGCTCTCTCGCTGCACAGTGAAGCGTTCCCGCATTGACGTCACTTCCGGCTTCCCCCAAAACTTCAAAATGAGTCGAAGGAATTTCCCCGCGATGTTCGAAATTATTGATATTTAACGGAACGGTATCGCTTTTTCTTTTTTAAACTGACGGTTCGAGATTACTAGTAGCCCAATATTTCATTGCACAACAGTTGTTGGGATGCTGTCACAGGCTCTTTAACGGCTCGTTGTAGCTCCAATAGCTTCAGCCCCCACCCTCCCTGTGAGCACAGTGTGCTCTGATTGGTCGGGACACGTAACATGAACGTGCCGGGCGGCGCGGTCCCGTGGGTTAGATGCGCGTTCATAATGCAGAGGGAAATAACTCTCAGAATAACGTTATTAGCACATTTTTACAACTTGAGGAACAAATGTTTTTAATAAGGGCTATACAAGTGTTCATACTGGGTAGTTTATTTAGTTTAAAAAAAATTATCAGACCACTCTTTCCCCATGTAAGTCAATGGGAAAAAGTGTTTCCGGGCCTGGCAACCAAACGGAAGTGTAGTACCGCCGTTTGGCCAGCACGAATATTTTCATCTGAGTCCGGCGCACTTCCTGGGGGCTTGGAGCCTGCCTGCAGACCTCCACTCTCAGGACAGTTCCGGTGTAGGCTGCACTCCTCAGGACACCTCCACTGTCAGTACAGGAAGTGACGATTCTGACGAACACGTTTTTTCCCGCCCACCGAAGGACTCGTTTGATTTTTCAAATCACAATAGGCGCTTTCACACTGCGGTACTTTTCCCACAAAGGTTCATGTGAACTTAGTTCATGTGAACTCTTTAGTTCGCATGAACTAAATACAGATCGCGTTCACACTGGAAAAAGTCCCTGGGGGTGGATTAGGCAAATGAAGCCGCTGACGTCACTTGTTCTTCTTCTGCTTTGGGTTTACTGGCAGGCCGCAAACCACTTCACGGCGTATACTGCCGCCCAAAGTCCCCGGCCGGAAGTCCCCGGAGTTAGGGACTGGCTTCAGTAGAAGCTGCTGGGACTCCCAGCAGCTTCTACTGAAGCCTTCCGAGTAAATCGCCAGAACGCCGACACCTCCTCATCTCCACCGCTCCCATGTTTTATTTTGTGTTGCCATAAGTTAGTCTCTCTGCGTTTCTGCGCTGGGCTAATGCTAATGCTAATAATGCTAATGAGAGGATAATAAAATGGCGGCTTCACAAAACTTTTTGGGAGTTTTGCGGGGCGTGGTTTGCAATCCGCCCAGCCAATCAGAAATGTAGCTCTTTTCTCACAAAAGAGCCGTTCGAAAGTCCCTGCTCTCTAGCAGGGACTTTCGAGGGGGTAAAAAGGTTCACATGAACTAATGTTAGTACCGGCTCTTTTTGGTGTGAACGCGATAAAAGAGTTCACATGAACTAAGTTCACATGAACCTTTGTGGGAAAAGTACCGCAGTGTGAAAGCGCCTAATGGAGACTCATCACGGAGGTGATGAATGGCATATAGGTGTAGGCAGAGGTAAAGTGCTCTAGGGGGGTCCGGGGGCATGCTAAATATTGAAGTTAAATGCATCAATCTGGTGCATTTTGAGAGCAAAATGAATTTATGGATACATCTCTCAACACCCATATGAAACAGAACTGTACACAGATTTTCTTTTTCTCTATGGATATTTTACAAATCACTCACCTTTTAAACTGTATTCTTGTTTTACTGTCATATAGTATTTCATAACTGTTTTTCATTTATTCTCATAAATGGTGACCAAAACATTTGAGACCCACTGAGATAACTAGACTAAAGTTAACTATCTAAACAGAGTCCCTTACCTCACTGAGCTGTAGTTATCTCTCAGTCTGACAGGAGAGAGCTCTCCCTTTCCTTGTTTTAGAAACAGCTTTTAATATCCGTTAAGCTAACCAGATGCTAACAACAACAATTCAAATTCTGAGTTTGGTAGAAATATACTGTATAATAGTAAAGTTATTTAAGATGATGCCATAGTTATTGAAGATTTATAAATATTCGCCAAATTATTCAAAAGCACATTCTTCCAAACTCCTTGCTGTAGTATGACACACAGGAGACTATTGATGTGTGTAGTGACTTTGGTAGTAATAAGCTGTATAATAGTGATTGAATATCATTGTATTCTCTTTTTTCGGAGTTGCACTTTGCAGACGGTCCCTGAGCACTCGTTTCTTCTCCGGTTGCGGACAGAGACCAATGTAATGTGTCCAGCTCGGAGGACGGCGCGTATTGTTTTTTTTTTTTTATCGAAATGTGATTGTAGTTCGTTGCCAACCTTACCACGGTACTTAGGAGACGTCATTTGTGTCTGAAAAACGTTTTGTTCATGAGTTATTGATCCGTGAAATCAGAATCTCCCAATATCGTTCCAACTTTACTGAACTAATCCAGAAGACCGTCTCATTTCGTAGACCGCTCGGTTTGCTGTTCCTTCACTTTATTTGTATATGCTGCCAACACTCACGCTCAATGCGTGAGTGTTGGCAGCCCTGACTTTAATACAGCTACACCTTTGTTTGGTTTCCATGGTAGCGCGTCTCTTTGGTAGCGCGCGCAACTGAAAGTCTGAGAGGCCAGGGTGAGGAAGATAGTCACAGAAAACAGAACAAGAATCGACAACTCGACCCTCTGCTTAGGCCCAAAATACATTTCTGCTAAATTATGAACCATCCAGATCTCTCAGGTCTTCAGGGACTGGTCAGCTTTCTGTCCCCAGAGTCAGAACTAAACATGGAGAAGCAGCGTTCAGTTATTATGCTCCAAATATCTGGAACAAACTCCCAGAAACCTGCAGGTCCGCTGCAACTCTGACTACTTTTAAATCCAGGCTGAAGACTTTTCTTTTTGTCGCTGCTTTTAATTGAACTATTCATATCTTAGACTGCACTGTAACTTTTATCCATGTATTTTTTCTTTTAATGTTTATTTTATTAGCTTTACTTTTTAATGACTGATTTAAATGCCATTTTAATGGCTTTCATTTTTTGTAAAGCACTTTGAATTGCCTTGTGTTGAAAAGTGCTATATAAATAAACTTGCCTTGCCAAACTTGCCTTGCTCACTAAAATACAGGTCCAGCCCATATGCTCCATGGTGCTACAGGCCGCAAAGGCAGTGCACTTACAACTACAATAAGCATGTTAATGTTAATCTAATACAGCTCCGGCGATCCACTAGCACCCGACCCCCCCCCGCAGTGGTTTTGAAAATGCTCCCGATTTCTGAGGTCTCAAGGTTGGCAAGTATGGCGTAGCCAGAATACCCAAAACAGGAAGCTGTCATACACTCTGGAAGCTATCATTAGCAGCTAATATGAAAAGTCAGTTTTTTATATAAAAATGGAATTATGGATTATCAAAAAAAATTCAAAGTGACAGACACATTGGATTAACCTATGGATTAACCTTCAGCCACGTTTTTCTCTTTTTAATGGCATTGGAAACAACTTTTGATCAGAATAACAGCAAACGGTGAGCATATCTCTGTTTTTTGCTACCTAAAGCTACGTCGTGTGTTGTCTGGTTTTGCTTCCCCTGTCGCGAGTTCTGATCGCTCAGTGATGATACTTATACCTCTAGAATCTGTGGAATCTCAGTTTGTGCAGATCCGATAAGTAATAAAGTATTTATACCTAGAGTTCTGTGCTAAGTGCGTTAGCATTTTTCGCTCAGGGCTCATTTAGACGCTTCTTGTGAGACTTGTGTTTTGTTTCGGTAAAAAATGGTTCATATCATCAGTTAGCTGAGTTTCTTCCCTTTAAGTGAGTATGACACATTAATAGTATTACATTTTAAGAAGCCCTGAGACACAGTTTCGTGAAAAAAAAAAAAAAACGGGGGAAAAAGCCCGGGGGGGCTAAGGGGCTTAACAGGTTAAAATGTCATTATGTCAGACATTTTTGAAAGAATTCATTGGTTTTTTCCCTGCAACACCCAAACATCCTGTAATTTTCTTTATTGTAGTTTTCAGCTGTGTCCGCCATCCTTGCACTAGATTCAAATTGCATATAATTAAAATAAAACTGAAATGGTGGATGATTAAAATAACTGGAGAGCCATTCAGACAGGTCAAATTTCAGAGGAGCTGCTTATGTTTGTGCTACATCACCTCTCTCAATAGTAATCCTCAGGGTTAAAAAAGTGTTAGTATTGCTTTGAAAAGCCTTGTCTCGTCCTCTTCAGGGATAACTTCCCCCTGCTTGGTAACTCTGGTGCAGCATTATCCTGTGTGGGTGGGGGAGGTTGCTCTCTGAGTGCTGGATCTTCTGGTGCCTCTTCAGGTTGCTGGGATGGGAGAAGCGGCGGCTGCAGACGGAGCAGCTGAAGGGTCTCTCTCCGGTGTGCACATTGCAGTGGATGTCCAGCTGGCTCTGGCACACGAACCTCTTGCCGCAGAGCAGGCAGGCGTAGGGCTTCTCCCTGGTGTGCCGGGCCAGGTGCTTCCGCAGGTCCGACTCCAGGAAGAAGCGCTTGGTGCAGATGGTGCAGCCGTACAGACGCTCCATGGTGACAGCGTGGTGGAAGGCCAGATGGAAGCTGCTGGAGAAGGGCTTGTAGTGGCTGTGGTGGGGGGGGTGGTGTTGGCTCGCAGGGCGGTGAAGATCCACGGAGGAGTTGATACCAGAGCTAATCCCACCACTAGATGTTCCTGGAATGGCATCTGGAGGTAGAACGGAACTTTCCTGCAGTGAGGACTTCACTTGCACTGATTCCAGCCCAGCGCCCAACTGAATCCTGGGTGATGTAGTTTGATCATGTCCGTTTTTCTCTCTTCCTGCTTCTGTCTTTATCTGGTTTGCATCTGACCACACACACCCCTCTGATGCCGCCTCTCCATCAATGACTATCACCTCTGACAGGGAGGATGTGTCTAAAGCAGCCTTATTATCCTTCCTGATGTCCGTTACGTCGGCACAAGAAGCAACCACACTGCCGGCTCCTGAGTCCAGCGGCTCACTGTCCCCTGCTCTGACATCACTTCCTGTTAGCATCAGCTGGGAACTGTGGGTTGTGTCACTGCTGTCAGTTACAGCTGTTCTGCCGACAACTAACGTGACGATGTCAGATCCACTGACCTCCATTTCGCGATGGCATCTGGTGTCCATCGGGGGGCCGGGGGGTGACGTGGCGGGGTTGGCGTCTCCTCTAACGTCCGCCGCCTCGTGGTGGGGGGTTCCAGTATCCATTGTTTCCTCCACCTTGACAATTAGCAGTCCCTCCTCCTCCTCAGGCTCTGCTGACTGAGAGGACACACTGATTAAAATAACTAAAATGATGTTATAAAAATACTAATAGGATTAAACTGCTGCCTATAATTTAATACTAAATGATAAAGGATACCAGATGTTTTTGATACAACAAGTCACATACTGTATGTTTTGGCTTTTGCTAGGGCTGCCTTATTGTTTTATTTCGGGTTTTTTCAGCTCAGATATATATAGTCGATTTATCATTTTGAAATGCTTTTTCATGCTGAATTACCTATTTCTAAGAAAATGATGAGCACAACTCTGTTATACAGAAGATATAAAGTTGTGTTTTTGTGACGTGGGATTTTATGATCATTTGACTAATGTACAGGGGAGATACAGCATATTGGGTTTCTGTAAAAAATAAACCAACACACTCTTTGTTTTGGGAGACAGGTGTGTAACACAGCAGACTGCCATAGGTTTACCTCTGGGTTTCTCCACACATAATACAGTTGGTTACTCTATTCAGTTGAACATATAACAGGTGCGACTAAATGCTAGGGATGCTCCGATCGCCAATTTCGGGGCCGATCGCCGGAATCAGTATCGGCCGATACCGATCGCCGATCCGATCGAGTGGGCGGGGCCTAAATGGAAGATTTAAACATCACTTTAAATCTTCCATTTAAAGTGATGTTTAAACTCAGTTAATGGGGCTCATTCACTGGAGCTTCCACAAACAACAATCAACTTAATTATTACATTCAAATGATGTACATTATTCAAGTTTACATTCACTTTGGAGAATAACACGGGAGAAATTAGCGGAAGCGCTCTCTTTTCCTCTCTCCCTCTCTCTCTCCCTCCTCTCTCCCTCTCCTGACAGCCTGTCAGTATCTCATGCAGCTCACTGATCCAGTAATGAGTGACCCGACAATGAAGAATAAATATATTTATAATAACTAGTTTAGCTTGTTCCAGAGGTAGATACAAATAACTAAGTGTGTTAGGTCTAACTCTTACGGTACGTCCACACAGCAGCTTTTCAAAAATCTTGGAAATCTTGGAGCTGGGCGTGTCTGAAAGCTTGGGGATTTTTTGCGAGCAACGCGACCAACAACCAATCACATGAATCTCCCGCCCCCGACATACAAAGCAAAAAACACCGGGGATTTTATGCGAGCAATATATATATATATATATAAACTCCCCAAACAGGCGAAAACTTACCAGTTTCACCCACTGTTTGGTTTGCTACCGTAATTTCTCGTTTGGAATATGAGGAAATGAACTGCGGTCTGGTTCTCAATGTGTGTGTGTGTTTCGCTGCGCTTACCTGTCCGGCGGGCGGAGCTGCAGGATTTCTGCTTCACACACGTTGCATACCGCTATTTTACTGTCTTTTTCGGACACCTTAAAATAATGCCAGACCGGTGAAGCCATGTTGGCGAGCTTGTTTTGCCGCACACAGAGAAAAGTGTCATGTATTTTACGTCATGCGATCGGCTCTCGCGATCGGCATGTTTAGAGAGCACCGATCGATCTTTAGAGAGTGAGTATCGGCCGATATCGATCGGTGACCGATCGATCGGAGCATCCCTACTAAATGCACTAACATACTCCAGTTTTCTTTGACTTATCCAATTGTTCTGCCAATTGAGTGCTGAAATAAGTGTAGGGGAACACAGGGTTTCCCACACATAGACTATACTTGGGCGGGCCGACCAGGTATATATTTTATTCGTCCGTGACCACGACGTCATCTGCGATCGATTAACTTGTGGACAATGATCCCTCGCTCTACGCCTCCTGTACCCAGTCCCGGACTGGCCATCGGGAGGACCGGGGGGTTTCCCGATGGCCTGGCCTGTTAAGTGGCCTGCCTCACACAGGGTGACTGGCTGTCCACATGATGTGGCCTGCAGACATGGCCACTGTCATACAGATCATAAATCAAAGCCCTTGATTGGTCTCTGTGTGTCACTCAAGCTAGGGATAACCTCAGCTCAGGTGAGGTAAAGCACTCTGAGTGTTTAGATAGTTAGCTTAGTCTAAGTTCTCAGTGGGTCTCAAACGGTTTGGTCACCATTTATGTAAACACATATTTCCATTTGAGGGTGTCAGTGTTTTTTCATATTGGATATGTTATTGGTTATGGCCATGATTTTATGATTATTGAAATGTATACAGTTCCGTTTCATATAGGTGTTCCCACATATCTAGTCTCTTTATTTTCCTCTCAAAATGCACCAGATTGATGCATTTAACTCCAACATTTAAAAAAAAATCTGACCGGGGGAGCATGCCCCCGGACCCCCCCTAGAGGATTTGAGGTCCACCCCCACTTAAAATCACATGGATAGGTTCCTAAAAACATTTACTTTTTCTAAATAGTTAAACCATTTCCATATGGTTATTTGTGGGTAGTAGAATTCAACTATAGGGCTATCACTATGGGCCCTGCCTGTACCTGTTCGCTCTGCCATCGCGTGAAGGGTCTGCTAACAAGCGACCAACAGAAAGGTTAATGTTGTTGCACATCACCTCAGCACCCCCCCCCCCCCCCCCACGCTACTACCACCCCCCCAAGTATATTTCAAATCTGTGGGAAACACTGGAACACCTGACACACAGCGGAGAAAGTGACACCAGCTAACCTTTGAGTGGTTGACCTTTTATTTTCTTAAATGATCAATCCGCTATCAATATTTTGTGACTATGGACTCATGTAAATGAGATCCAAGATGAACTCAGATAAAACATGAGTGAATTAGAGCAGGGTCATATGAGTGTAGTTTTAACTGTGTACTATGATTACACTACATTCCACATTTAAATCATTTTCTACCTCTCCCCTATGTCTGCATAAAATAATTTATAATTGCAAACAAACCAGAATAACGTCATGGCTTAATGTATGTCCCCCCTAAAAAAAACAAGACAGGCCAATATAAAAAATGCTTTCTTGAATTGGTATCTGAATTGCTGCTGCAACAAAAACAATTTCCCAAATTGGGATCAATAAAGTACCATCTTATCTTATCTACCTCAGCTTTGGTGGTGGTGACCACCTCTTGATCAGGGTCCTGGTCCAGGTTGATGGGTTGGATCTTCCTTGAAGACTGCTGAGTCGCTGGGTCTCGGTTCAGAAACCTGGTCCTGGCCTGCAGCATGGGGCCTGCTGGGAAATAAGAAGGACATTAATTGGTTACAAATGACTAAACTAGTCTTATGATCTAATGATCAGATCATTCACTGTGAAAGAGCAGGTGTTGTGCAGCCGTGCTGGACTGTTGGGTTATGTCCTGTTGTGAACTGTAACCCCCTAAAGTAGAACACCTAGACTTCATATTTCAAATATACTGCTTCCCGTCAGCTTAAATGATTATTTATGATGGTTGTAATTCCTTTATGAAAGCAATATAAATAATCTCACACAGCTAGAAAAGATAAGACTGTGGGAAAATATTTTTCTTCAGAACTGTAACAATGGTTTGACTTTATTTACAATATCTCCTTCCACCATAAATAAATCATTCATAAAAAATATATATAATTATGTATAACAGAACACTACGGGAGGGGATCAGGGCCACATGACATTTTGAGTTTGACTTTAATCTCCGAATTCTAAGAAAATAGCCACAATTCTGAGAAAAAAAGCCATATTTCTGAGAAAAGTCAGACAGAACTCTGAGGAAAAAAAGTCCGTTAGAATTCTGAGAAAAAAGTCAGAATTCTATTTATCTTCTGTAGAACACACATTCAACAGCCATGCTAGGTTATGTCTATTGTTCAGCAATATGATTATGAAGACATTTTAAAGTTCCAGGTGTCGGGGCTTCTTACCGGCCAGTGAGTCCCTGCTCTGCCGGTGGAGGGGGCGGACCCCCGGGAAGCGGCCGCCGGTGAAGCCCTCCGCTCCCCTCACTCTCTCCGCCCGGTACCTGGCGACCTGCAGCTCCATCAGTTTGAGTTTCCGTCGCAGGAACTCGTTGTCCTTCTGGCTCCGGGACATCTGCAGGTGTACCACCGTATATCCGTCGTCTACAACTTTACAAATTTCCGCCACGGCCGCATTAGCCAGCACCTCCATGATGGAGGCGATCTGAGAGTGGAACTCCACGGAGGTCGACATTGTCACAGCGAGTCTGAAACACCCGGCTGTTTAAATAAAGGACCTGCTTCCTTAAAACAACACGGACAGTCCTGAAGCGTTGACGTGCTATCTGAAACGCATAGCTAGGTGTTTTGAAGTGATCCTAAAGTCGGATAAAATGTGTACACAGACTGCTGTTGGAATCTTGTTGTTATGATGGTTGGTTGCACAATGGCAATATTTCACAGTAGCCTACTTCCCAATAACTACACCACCACAGCGCCCCCTCCGTTCAGGAGCGGACCTGCACCACAGTAACTACAGTGTCGTTACACATTTAGAAGATATTACTACCTGACCCTGGTATCAACAGTGGAGTAACAACAAGGTACATTTACTCAACTACTGTACTTAAGTAAGAGTTACTTGTACTTTACATTAGTGTTTTCCATGTCATGCTTCATTACATTATGCAGATTTAGGTTATTAGGTTGTACACAAACCAACACACATACATTAAAGGTGGGGTAGGTAATTTTGAAGAAACCAGCTCGAGTAGGGGTGGGCGGATCGATCCCAAAATATCGATACTTCCGATATTACGTTACGTTTCAAAATATCAATAGGATCGATACTTTTATATTTTTTTCCTCTCCTCTACTCGTCAATTTCATCAAAAACTATGTGCAGAGCGCAGACGAACACAAGTATATGCGCTCTTTTCTTCTTTCTCCACTGCTGTCCTCCTCTCCTCGAGGCTCACGCACGCGCAGCGCGCTCCTTGCCTGAACGTCGATTATCAAGCTGACTGACAGCAGCCAGCGACTCGCGAGTGCGACACACACTCGCGCATGATGGCTGAGAGAAAGAGGAGCGTTGTATGGAGCTAACTGTCAATGAAAACTTAGCGAACTGTGATGTGTGCAAGAAGGCAGTTCGCTACTGTGGCCACTTTGTATTGTTATTTTTCATGTTTGCACTTTAAATTTGCAAAAGTAAAACGTTTATGTGTCTATAAAAACTGTCCTGTCTTTAATCATGAAAATGAATTCAGATGTAGTCTATGTATCATGCTTTCAGCTCAAAAATCATGTCATGCAGCTCACCCCTATGTGAAAAAAATACGCTTTTCATTAATAAAAAAAAAGGGTTAGGGTTAACCCTACGCAAGGAATCCATTTAACCGAAGTGAGAAGGGCCCTATGTTAGAGCTCATCCAGAGCTCCTCCTCGATGCTCGATGCTCGGTCCTCGAAGTGCATTTAGAGAAATTAGATGTCCTTCAAAATGGCGCTCTGAAATTCATTTCCGGGTCACTACCGGAGGACTGAGGAGTCGAGGAGGGGAAATGTGGGTCCTTCTCACTTCGGTTAAATGGATTCCTTGCGTCCCTCACTTGCGTCGTTTCCCTGTGACTAGTCCCTCCCACCAGGGAAGCATGGAGAGACGCAAGGAAACCACGAGAAGCAGGGAAATTAGTTTTAAGAGCAATGGGACGTCCTTTCCTCCGGAGCGTCACGTGAAGCGACGTCCGTTTGATGACGCCGCACAGCTGATCGTCTGACAGCAGCTCTGTCCCCGTTATTTTCACAAACACCCCCGCCTCTGTTAGTACACATTTACTGACACAAACATATGTATCATCTGTTGTAGACCCAAATAAATAAAATCAAATAAGAACTCATTCTCAAAAAAGATAAACGCCATTCTCAAAATGTATAAACGAACAATAGTTTGATTAATATTGATTAGAGTGCACAATAGAAATTAAATAATTGAGAGAAGAAAAAGAGATATGTTATCTATCAAAACCCAGTTAGATTAACATTCATTGGATTGCACACTTTGTTTGTTTGTGTGGATATGTAGCACATTAACATTTTAATAGCACTTAATGACTGACTGAATGGAAATGACAATAAATGAAAATGTAAAGCGAAAAAAGCGATCATGAAAATGTTTCCAATAAATGAATAAAATGATTTTTGACCACTTTGTTGTTCAGATATATCACATATTTGTAATTAAATGATACATTAATTGAAACAAAACACGGTATAAACTGAGGAGTGACTCCCGTGAGGTTCATGTATTTTCTTCACTCCGCTGGGAAACTGCTCTCATGTCAAGAAGCATCAGATCAGTGCATGCGCTGCATCATCCAATCAGTGAGCGATACACAGTAAGGGGGCGGGGCGAGTATCTGAGGATTTCATCGGAGGATGGTCTGGTGGTTCCTCGATAATAGCTCCTCCATTATCGCTCCTCGCTCATCGCTCCTCGGTCCTCCGGCAGAAATAAGGCCATTGGGACGGTACTCAAGATGGCGCAGACAAATCAACTTCCGGTGAGACCGAGACCGAGGAGCGAGGAAATGAAAAATAAGAGAAGTGAGAAGGGCCCTCTGAGTATTGAGAAGCCTCTACTGACTAACCATCATGCAACGCACTAGCAAGACGTTGATCGCAACTGCGCAGGTCTCGCTTGTCTCAAACAAGCCTAGTAGCTCTGTCCCCGATATTTCCACACACACCCCCGCCTCGGTTAGTACACATTTACTGACACAAACATTTGTATCATCTGTTGTAGACCCAAATAAATAAAATAAAATAAGAACTCATCCTCAAAAAAGATAAACGCCATTCTTAAAATGTATAAACGAACAATAGTTTGATTAATATTGATTAGAGTGCACAATAGAAATAAAATAATTGAGAGAAGAAAAAGAGATATGTTATCTATCAAAACCCAGTTAGATTATCATTCATTGGATTGCACACTTTGTTTGTTTGTGTGGAAATGTAGCACATTAACATTTTAATAGCACTTAATGACTGACTGAATGGAAATGACAATAAATGAAAATGTAAAAAGAAAAAAGTGATCATGAAAATGGTTCCAATAAATGAAGAAAATGATTTTTGACCACTTTGTTGTTCAGATATATCACATATTTGTAATTAAATGATACATTAATTGAAACAAAACACGGTATAAACTGAGGAGTGAGTCCCGTGAGGTTCATGTGTTTTCTTCACTCCGCTGGGAAACTGCTCTCATGTCAAGAAGCATCAGATCAGTGCATGCACTGCATCGTCCAATCAGTGAGCGATACACAGTAAGGGGGCGGGGCGAGTGTCTGAGGATTTCATCGAAGGATGGTCTGGTGGTTCCTCGGTTATAGCTCCTCCATTATCGCTCCTCGCTCCTCGGTCCTCCGGCAAACATAAGGCCATTGGGACTCTACTCAAGATGGCGCAGACAAATCAACTTCCGGTGAGACCGAGACCGAGGAGCGAGGAAATGAAAAATAAGAGAAGTGAGAAGGGCCCACAGCCACCCTCTTTGCCTGTTGGTCTGCTCGACACGGCTGGGAGCAATCTCCAATCAACCACACCTGCAACCTGCTCATCACCCACACTATGAAAGCCTGCAGCCTGCACTCATTCCCTGCCGGATTGTTGCCGTGAACGGTTTGTTGCGTGCAGCTCTAGCTTTTTGCCAGCATATTCTTTGACAACTTTGCCTGCTTTTGCCTCACCCTCATTTTTATGTCTCTCCCAGGAGGAATCCAAGGCCTTCCACACTCCCAAGACCAGCCAGGCCTCTCTACTACCCTGGAACAACTGTTTCCCACTGCTGCCATAACCAACCTCCACTCCCAGCTCCCCTTTTCTAATAAACAAATGTTACTTTCACCAGCTGATTCCGAGTCATCCTTTTACATGTGTTAATAGTCAAATTCCAATAGTTAAGTAAACTATCAAAATCATCCTAATGACCACAATGGTCAGTCCACTTACCCAGGAATTTTGAGTTGAACAATTACAGGAATATTATGTCTTTATGTTCTAATAATGTAAACATATTTTAATAAATTGTTACCACAGAACATTTGCATAATGTTTTAAACATAAACATGTTATCCTTCTCTAAAATAATAACATTCTGGCAACATAAACAAATCTAACTTGCAGCTGAAAACATTTTAAGAACAGTAGGGCATAATGTTCTAACAATGTTATGTTAGAGAACGTTATCCTCCTTTCAGAAGAACATTCTGGAAACCAAAAGAAAACTTCTCGCTGAAAACATTCCTAGAACAATGAATGTAACATTCTCAAAATGTTGAACCAAACGTTTCTAGCTGGGTAGGTCCACGGTGTTTACATTCTTATGTATACAATATGTGTGCTTATGCTTACATCTTAAGACAAAAGATGGTTCCGTGTTGTGTGTAGTGGGAACGCGCTAGAGTGAGGGGGGCCCCCAAGCCAAAGCTCGCTTAGGCTTGGGGTCTAGGGCCGTGTGTGTGTGTGTGTGTGTGTGTGTGTGTGTGTGTGTGTGCGTAGATGCGGCGGACAGACAGGTCTCAGTTGGTTTGGTGTCCTATGCTTACTTTTAATGTAAGCACTTTGAATTGCCTTGTGTTGAAAAGTGCTATATAAATAAACTTGCCTTGCCTTGCCTTTAATACTTGTAAATAAAACTTTTGGCCCGTAATTGCATTTCCTCATTGTATCGACCAGAGAGGGGGGGGGGGGATATATCCAGTCTCTGATAGTGTTACGTTATTATGCTGTGAGTGCTCTCATACTTGTTTGATTCTGAAATTGTATATATTTATATATATATATATATATACCTATGTATATATGTGTGTGTATGTCCGCTTCTGTAGCCTGTTATTGTATCATTATACCGCACTGTGAATGAATTACAAGTAAATATAAGTCATGTTTGATTGATTGATTGAAAAGTTTATTAACAGCTTGTATATTGGGTACAGTACAGTACAGCTCAAAACATACAATTGTTGAGAGGATGCAGACCAGAGAAAGACTTTCGTCTTGTTTACATCAGGGTCCCCCATTTCCAATTCATCATATCATTTAAGACATATAAGACATATTTGACATACAGATGGCTTATTTACAATTTACATACAGGTGGTTTTTTACATACAGATTGCTTATTTACAATTTTCATTTTAGATTTCGTTCTAATACATCCTAACCGGACATTTAAGACATACCAAGTCTACAGATATACAGTTAGTAACAGAGTCTAAAATGCGAGTAGGCCCTATATACATAGATGGGGGGGGGGGGGGGGGAAGCTGTCCATTGTACGACAGGTTGAGATTTGTACCATTACCGGGGCCAGTTTTGCAATGCTCTCCCCCGAAGGTGCTCTTTAAGAGAGGTTTTGATCATGAACACATCTGTCCATCAGACAGAGGGCTGCTGTGCCTCCTGTCATTATTAATGGACGTCTCTTTAAAATGACCGCTCAGAGGAGAGGATTTCTCATTTCTCTAACCGCCTGCTGCTTCCACTCCTCTTTCCTCGGTTCCCCTCCTCCGCTCCTCCACTCGCATCTCCTGTGGGCGGGACTAAGACACGAGGATAGGAGTCGAGGAGGGGAAATTAGTGAAATGAGAAATGGCCATAGATGAGTTAAGAGATGGAATGATATGATGATTCACACTCGTGTACAGTAGGTGGCGGTATGCACCTTAAAAGTTGTTTGCAATCCGCCAAAAACTGAGAGAAGAAGAACAAGGTCAGCGCAGTGACCGGCAGCGACATCCATGCAGTGACCAGAGAAGCATTTTATAGAAGCACCGACAGAGTTCTCCGGTTCTTCAATCCAGTTTATCACAATCCGACTGTTTGTAGTCTCAAAGATGAGAGGAAGCCGCAGCCGCGCCTCAGCTCCAGCCAGGTAACACCTTGGCTTTATACAGTCTATGGTAACACATACAGAAACCCACAGTCTGAGGGGGGGGGGGGGGGGCATAGCAGATGGTCTCATGTGTCCTGTTTGCAGGTAGTACGAATTCAGACTTTAACAAATATGACATTGACATTACAGCCTAGTTTGTCAGTTGTCTGGCTAATAACTACATTATACGCAGGGTGGCTTTGATATGTATCCTAATTGTTGTTGCGTCATTCGTTACTGAGACCATGTTATGTCAGAGTGAAGTTCTTGACAAGGTCACTACTTTATATAAAACACAATGCTTCTTTTAGGCAAGTCAAATAGAGATGTGGTTTGTCTTGTTGTCATGTTTTTATTTTTATCAATGGCAGTGATGGAAGAGCTACTCAGATCTTGTACTTAAGTAAAAGTAGAAGTACCAGAGTGAAGGAATACTCTGGTACAAGTAAAAGTCCTGCATTCAAAATGTTACTCAAGTAAAAGGACAAAAGTATTAGCATCAAAATATATTTGCTTGCAGGTGATTTTCATACCTGAGCAATCAGCATTAGCTGTTTCCTACTTCTCGAGGGTGAATGTCCTGTAACAGTTATTAATATACACAGGTTCCAGCAATGCAAGGCTTCACTTGGTACCTTGTCTGATTACTTTTAACATTTTATTGATTTAAAAAAAAGACTACAGCTGAGACGTTGTTATTGCATGGCATTTTATGAAGGTATAATTCCTAATTATTATATATCATAATTTAAATTTCTTCTACATCTGATTGGAATATAAGATGTTGGTTTACAGTGGTTTCGTGTTTATAAAGACACACAGGCTTTGTACCATACGTCATGTCCATTTGAGCCTGTCTAATGCAAATGTTTTTGCTTTTCTTTGTAGCCATCCTGTATCCCATGCTCCAGCTCATGCACCTCCCGCTGCCCTGGCCCCGGCCCCCGCTCCATCCCAGGGCCCGGGCCTGATGGCCCAGATGGCCACCACAGCTGCTGGGGTGGCAGTGGGTTCCGCTGTGGGCCACGTAATGGGCAGCGCCCTCACAGGAGCGTTCAGCGGGGGCAGCAGCAGCAGCAGCAGCAGCAGCCCTGAGCCAGCCAAGCCCACATACCAGGTAAGAGAAGTATAATCACTCGTAGGATTAGGGTGGCAGGGCACAGGCTTTAGCTGACTCCAACATGTCAAATCAGGTCATCGGTTCTTCTGGAGGTGCTTCTGTCTGGTGAAAGTCTGACTGGTCATGGTGTGTTTTCCTCCGTAATGGTTCAAAAGTAGAATTTTCTCCATCTGGCCAAAGGATTTGAAATGTAGAGCCCCTGCAGATTATCATTAGAACATTGCAAAGAAAAGGAGTTCCTGCTTTGAGCTTTTTTATTTAAGGAGTGGTCAGTTAAGACACTGATACAGATTTGACTACAGAGAGCCCCACTGACCAGAGCATCAATACTAATACATACCATTTTGCAGCGGGAGTGTTAACCTCCTTTTTCATATGGTGTTGGATATTATAAACAATACAAATATGTATTTTCTTAAATAATGATTTACTGCAACAACAAAGTAAAGTAAAATGAATGAGGACAATAAAATGTCATAGGCCAAACGTGTATATTTATAAAAAATATTAAATGATCTCGTAAGAAGAAAAGAAAATATCATTATTTCTTATGATAACAAATTACATTGCAAGGCCGATTTTAGTTGGATTTATTCATTTAGATAAACCCTAGAGAACCCTGAACCATGCTATGAATATGATCATTTTGACATATTATATGGAGAGACAATATATTGGGCAGGATATCATAAAAGTATCAAAAAGCATATTAGTTAGCATGAATAGTTTGGAACAGATTCATTTTTAGTTTTTTTTTTATCAGATGCTTCGAAATTAAATGATAATTACGATAAAAGTAGTAGCCAGGATCACCATGTTGAAATATTTCCTTTTTTCTTTATGTATGTACAGCATGAACAGCTACTTGGGTCAAACAGGAGATCCACCAAGTATGCGTATTGATTTTAAATGTATTTTTTCTTGTTCATTGAAAGTAGTACCCAGATTGTTGCTTGAGAAGTTGCTGTAAGCGAAGCTGACGACTGAGTGTGACCTCAACCATGAAGCCCATTCAGGACTTTGACTGTGAAATGTCGGATTCAAATGTTTTTCCTTGCTCGTATCATCCTAGGAGCCCCCCCGGCCCACTCAGGCCCAGCCCGGCCCCTGTAACTTTGAGGTCAGACAGTTCCTGGACTGTGCTACCGGCCAGTATGACCTGAGTCTATGCGAGGGCTTCAGCGAGGCTCTCAAACAGTGCAAGTTCTCCCACGGTGAGTGTGCTGAAGGATGGATGGAGCCACATGAAACACTGCTCAAAACATCCCAAGGCATCTGCTTTTTTAATATGAAATTCTTCATGTGCGCTTCATGTGAAACACTTACTGCTTTGGTTCTCCTGGCACCTGATCATACGGTTTTACAGTAGTATGATTTCTCAGTAGAAGCTACAGAAACTCGTTGGACATAAAAATACGTAATTTCATTAAAAATCATGTGTATCTCTTTTTTCTCTGCAGGTGTGACGTCGCTGGTGTGAAGGATGGTGATCAGCTGTCAAGTTGGACATATCTCAATAATGAAACTTACTGTAGAAATTGCCACATTCTAGCACGTAGATGTGAACGTACCTCAGGCAGAGAGCATGTTGGTTTTGTTGATTGATGACCGTGTAATGTATACATACATTACTATAATGTACAAAATGTTTTTGGTATGTACAGGCAAGAACCTTTAATAAATAGCTGCTATGACCTTGCACATAATGTCAGTGTATTTTCCTTATTCCTGTCATGTCGTGTTTTTAGCCTGTATATATACATATACAGTATACAGGCTTGGGGAGCAACGGTTTACATGTAACGAGATTATCTAATCAGGATACAAAAAAAAGTAACTGCTTAGATTATAATCAGATTACTAGCAGGATTACAATGTTACAATCCATAACTGATTTAATGGTTTCTGACAGAAATCTCCTAGATTATGAACAATTGTGTTATTGCACTAGACATAACTTCAATCCCACAACATCAGATATTATTAAACTACATAAAGCGCTTCCTCAAGAATGTGTGTTTATGTCGAGACATGTTATGGCTCCCCAAACTATATAGCCACAACTGCCCTCATTATTCATTAAAGGGATATTAGTCCTGGACGAAACATGCAATAATCCCTTTATAAGGAAGTGTCTCACTGAAAAATTATTTCCTAGACAAAACAGAAATGAGATCCTACATAAATTCGACAATCAATCCATTAATAAACTAAGAACTGTGTATCTAACATTCGCTTTGGGCTACCACCCAAAAAAACTAAACACTTCAACAATATGTATCCCTAAGGAATTGCTTAGAGTGCGTATCGTGGATGAATGTGGGTATGTTGTTCCAATTCCAATAAAGTTTGTAAAAAAATAAAAAAGGGTCGCCTGACTGAACCTTGGCGCATTGCCCTCAGTTGCGGTACATCCGGTTCTGCTTTCAAAATAAAGCCGTACGACATGTTTTCTTAGCATCAGGCCATGTTTTCATCGGGTTTTAGTCCACTGCATATTCTTTGTTATTCTGACGAGTTTATATTTTCTGCAAACAAAATCTCAAAATTAAAATAATTTCAATTTTACATTCTTAGAGCATTGTTTTATTCAGTTATGAGTGTATAGGTGTATATATACACACACACAGGCTATACTTTTTTGTGTGTTAGCAGGGTTTCTGTGAACCATAAATAGAAAATATTAAACCCATTTGAGCATTTTTTTTAAATTTAACTTTCAAATATTAAGCACACAAATCAAGATATAATATTAAGAAATATAAATATCACCCTCCACTAGACAATAAGAACATCATACTAGCTGAAGAAATATTACTTTAGTTTGAACGTTTTGAACTCACTGAACATATTTTTAAATCTACAACCGGAAGCAGTAGACTCGGCTGCTCTCCTGTCGCTGCTCTCTCTGGTCTCCATACAGTTTCGGGCAGACTTGACTCCAGCAGACTTCAGAATGCCTTTCGTCGACATTCAGAGTAACCTGCCGGCCAGCTCCTTCTCGGAGGACTTCCTGAAGAAGCTGTGCTCCTGCACCGCTGCTGCTCTGGGGAAGCCCGAGGAGGTGAGTGCCTTCCCGGCTAGGAGCTGCAGCCCCGCGGGGTGAAGCTGGGCTGCGTGAGTCCTGCTGTGGTCATACTGGGCACATGTGCCTCTCATGCTTTCAACAGGATTAACGTTCCTAGCAGTTTTACATGCATTTACCACTAACTCTAACCCACATATAGCTGTTTTAATTAGTGGAATAGAGGCTTTTCCAGCACATCAACACTTTCTCACCAGTTCCTCTTAACTGTAATGGCTGGAAGGGTCCATTCACATAAAGTCACGGGAGTGGCTATATACAGGACGGTCCTGTATATAAGGTCTCTGAAATGGCTATATACAGGACCGTCCTGTACACAACGCCAAATGACTATACAGGACCGTCCTGTACACAACCCTCTGAAATGGCTATATACAGGACGGTCCTGTTGGTCTCTGAAATGGCTATATACACTACAGGACCGTACAGGAGACATTTAAAACATATGTCATATGTATTATTGCTACATAAACATTATATCGCAGTCTTAGTGTCGCCAACTCCGTTTCTAATATGCAATATGACTATAAAATGCGTCTATAATGTATTTTCGATCTTCCCAATTCAGGCGAGAGATCTCTCCCCCGCCTGCTTGCGAGGGGGCGGGGCAGTTTGCTAGCAGCAATACACAGAGTTAACTCAGTTATACAAACATGGGTTAATGATTAGAGGAAACTGAGTTATTTATTTTGTTAAAGTTTCAGCTATTCTGTTTACAGTTCTGTCATCACATTATTTAATATGATTTGTTAAAACATTGTTGTTTCTTTTGATGTGAAATATTATGCATTTAATTAAAATAAAAATCAATGTTAGTTTTGTTAACAATTTGTTTAGTTAGTTTACCTTATTTCTTGTCTAAGAACCGTTAATACTATCGTTAAAAGGACCGGATCGATAAGCAGTATCGATATAAGTAGTGGTTAAAACCTTAACGATCCGAATAATCGATTAATCGTTTCATTAATCGATAGATTAATCGATTATCAAATTAGTCGTTTGTTGCAGCCCTAGTTTGAAACCAGAGGGTGACCTTCACCAATTTTAGAAATGAAACCTGACATTTCATGGGATTTTCACGTCTTTATCGGCAGAAAAATCGAGTCGCTTTTTATGTAGTCTACAGAAATATGGATATAATTGGTGTACAATTAACGTTTACAGCAGGATACATTACAAAAATGTACAGCATACTACATACAATTCAAAATACGGTTTCTCCGATTTCTAAAATAAAAATGCCGGGGTAGCCGATAAATGATTTGTGTTGCTTTCAATGCAAAATCACTACACGTCAACGAAATGTCGGCGTATTCTTTAAAAATAAACCTTCAGTTTTAATAAAACCGAGTAGTCTTTAAAGTATGCAGTGATATCCTTTACAAGTAAAACATTGTGCATTGGAAAATATAAAGTAGAAAATGATTGAAACAACATAAAAAGATAAGCCAAAAAAAAGACTGAAATCAGCATAAAAAGCTAAGCAATTGGCATGGAAAGAGATTTAATTGCCACAATTTTTATATTGAGGGGAAACTCATTGAAAATAATGTTGTCGTGAGAATATTTATCTGTGAATCCTATCCCTACATTACCACCCGCGAAACTTGCTTAAGCATGCTATAATAGCCCGGTCTGTATATAGTCATTTGACGTTAGCTGCAGGACGGTCCTGTATATAGCCATTTCAGATATCTTATCCACAGGACCGTCCTGTATATAGCCATTTCAGAGAGCTGTTTACAGGACGGTCCTGTATATAGCCATTTCGGAGCTTGTATACAGGACGGTCCTGTATATAGCCAATTCAGAGACCTTATATACAGGACCGTCCTGTATATAGCCATTTCAGAGACCTTATATACAGGACCGTCCTGTATATAGCCATTTCAGGGCTTCTGTGCAGGACCGTCCTGTATATAGCCATTTCAGAGAGCTGTGTACAGGACGGTCCTGTATATAGCCATTTGGCGTTGTGTACAGGACCGTCCTGTATATAGCCTCGGCCTAAAGTCACAGTAGGCTTGGCTATAACAGTTATTGCATACTAGTTACATTACACATATGACCCTAGGTTTTGTCTGCAGTCATAAATACATTTGCCAGTATGCAGCGGTGGGAGAAGTACTCAGATCTAGCTAGTTTGAAATACTTTGTATACTGCAGGGTAGCTTGTGAATTTACTCCAGGTGGAACTAAAGTCTGATTCAACACTTGATTAGATTTCACATCATTCATCCAGATCTGTAAAGTAACTAAAGGTATTAAATACATGTAGTGGAGTAAAAGTACACCATTTACCTCAATTCTAGTGGAGTAGAAGTACAAAGTAGCATAACATGGAAATACTCAAGTAAAGTACAAGTATCTCAAAATTGTACTTAAGTACAGTATTTGAGTCTACTTAGTCCCACCTCTGCCAGTATGTAGGAAAGGGCAGTGACTGTTGTTATGCGACTAATCGCTTCAGCCGTAATGTAATGCACACATATACTGTACACATGTATCTATCTATAAACTCACTTTATGTAACCTATAACACACAGCCTCACATGCAGCAAATGTGTCAACATGAAATGACACATATAGATTAGAAGATTAGAATCTTTAATGACCACACAGCCAGGCTGGTGGAATTCGTGTTCAGTGCAGAGTATTACAGCTTGTTCCATACAATTCAACATACAATAAACAGACAATAAAAAGTACAACACACAGCACAGGGCAAAGACATATAACATAAAGTTCAAGGTGTGGTGGATTGTTATTGTTCATTGGGGTTATTTAGAGTCCATTTAGTGTCCGTATTGCAAAGGGGAAAAAGCTGTTTTTGAAGCGGGCGGTTTTGGCGGACAGTGACCTGTAGCGCCTCCCTGAGGGCAGAAGTTGGAAGACATGGTGACCTGGGTGGGAGGGGTCAGAAATGATTTTCTTTGCCCTTGTGACAGTTCGTTGGTGGTGAAGTGATTCGAGTGATGGAAGGGGACTGCAGGTGATTTTTGATGCTTTATTGATGATACGTTGAAGTTTATTCCGGGAGAGGTTGTCTGAACTGCTGTACCAGACTGTGATGGATGATGTGAGGATGCTTTGGATGATGGCTGTGTAGAACTGGATTAGGAGATGTTTCCTCACTCTGTATTTCTTGAGCTGCCGCAGAAACAATAGCCTTTGGTTGCCTTTTTTGTAGATGTGGTCTGTGTTGGTCTTCCATTTGAGGTTATTGCTTATGTGAGTGCCAAGAAATTTGAGTGATTCTGTGGTGGAAATGAGTTTGCCAGAGATAGATAGAGGTGATTTGGGCTGTGGCTTTTGCCTGAAGTCGATGATTATTTCTTGGGTTTTTGCTGTGTTAAGTAGGAGGTTGTTTTCTGAGCACCAGGTGACTGCTTGATGGATCTGAGTGAGGTATTGTGTTTCATTATTATTTGAGATGAGTCCTGTTATTGTTGTGTCATCTGCGTATATATGTTGACTGTGGGGTGCTGAGATGTGAGTTGGTTTGTGTAGAGTGAGAATAACCAGGGGGATAGGACACAGCCTTGTGGAGCTCCTATACTGAGGTGCAGAGGGAGAGATGTGGAGTTATTTATTTTGACCCGTTGTTGTCTGTTCCAGAGGAAGCTGTGGATCCAGTGACAGATGCAGGGGTCAGTGTTCATGTCCATTAGTTTATTGAAGAGTTTTTCCGGGTTGATGGTGTTGAAAGCGGAGCTGAAGTCCAGGAACAAGATGCGGGCGTAGGTGTTGGGGGATTCCAGGTGTTGTAGAGTGTGATGGATTGCCAGGTTGACAGCGTCATCCACGGATCTGTTGGTTCTGTATGCAAATTGATATGGATCCATGTATGTGGATACAAGTCACTTTAATTAAAGTTGTATGCAACTGAAATAAGATATTTGTCATAGAAACATAATTAGGTATTGTGTCTATTATGAGAATATAATGGTTGAATGTGTATACAAATTACTAACATAACATAACTGTTCTTTTCTTAAAGAATGCACTTCTCATAGCCGTGGGAAGTAGGGGTGCTGCAGAATAGCCGGTCGTCAAGGGCCGTTGACGGCCGGCATCATTTAAGTTGCGCTGTCAGGCGACAGAGGTCCATCATGTCCCCGCAGCGAGGCTACCCCCCCCCCGTTGACAATTCACGAGCACCCCCCCGTTGACAATTTACCGCACCCCCTAAGTAAAATGATTTCTCGCGGCTATGCTTCTTCTCATTCTCATTCTCGTGCTTCTTCTCGTTCAATGCCTTACTGAAGGACACTTTAGCAGGCTCACTTTGTCTGTGTGGGTGTGGCCTTTAACTGAAGTGTATCTGCACTCACTTCCCTCATGCTGACCCATGTTTACATGCTCTACCCTAACTGATGCTGGTCCTGTGTTTCAGAGGATGCACCTGGTGGTGCAGCCCGGGCTGCCCATGCTGGTAGCCGGCTCCTGCTCTCCGTGTGTCATTCTGTCAGTGTCTGCTATCGGTGTGACCGACACCGCTGACAAGAACAAGGAGCACAGCGCCAAGATCTTCGAGTTCCTGACCAGAGAGCTCAGTCTGACTGCAGACAGGTGAGCTTTATGGATCCCTCCAGTGTGTTGATTCGGCCAGTAGCAGAGAGTGGTGTCCAAGACAATCATTAAAGTCCATCAATAAGCTTTACCGTGCATTCTCCTTTGCTGTAAAGATTTTCTTACAATAAGTGTGCTTTTTAACTGACAAACATATTTTATCATCTCCTGTCTGATGACCAGTGTTGTGCTAGTTACTGAAAACCAGTAACTAGTTACCATTACTAGTTACTTCATGTCAAAAGTAACTCAGTTACTTTACTAGTTACTTACACCCAAAAGTAATGCGTTACTGTGAAAAGTAACGTTTTCGTTACTTGAAAAAAGGGCTCCCATTAATGCCCTTATAGCCTTCATTTCAGTACTGTTATGCATTGGAGAATAATACAATCTGTTGATCAACTTGACATGCATTATATGCAATCTGGATTGCATCGATATTAGCTGGCTTTCCATTTTTGTATATTCTTTCTCCAGGTAGTTGGAAAAAGTGTTCCGTCCCATATGCCGTGTGCCGCCCGGACATGCTATCATGCTAACTAGCTCCCTGAAAGCGGGTGACTCCACTGTAGCAATAGCTTGCATGTGTTCTACAACATACCGTGCAATGGCTTTATCGACTTTTCCCTGGCTAGCAGTCCTTTGGTTAAAATCCAGCCGCTGTTGCTTAGGTGGAGGTGGAGTGGCGTCGGCTGAGTCTCTGTGGTCTTAGCTACTAGCTTCGTCCCAGCATGTTGTTTTTGCAGATGTTTTAAGATATTTGAATTACTGGTTTGGGCAGTAGATAAGATCTTTGACCCGCCAGGACACAACTTACATTTAACTAAAACGTTCTTTTCTTTGTGCTCGACAAAAGTGAAATAGTGAGAATATCTCCAGGTGGAGAAACTAGACTTGAGCTCCGCCGCCGCCATGATAGTCTTGTTAGTAAACAACACAAACACGCCCACAGCCCGTCTCCGCATGTGACACAGGAAGTATCTAAGTACATTTACTCAAGTACTGTACTTAAGTACAGTTCTCATCTCTGTTCGCCTGGCTGTTGACTATATAAAAAAACTAACGGAGTAACGCACCATGTAGTAACGGTACCTGAGTTACTGAATTTAAAAAGTAATGCGTTAAAGTACTAGTTACTGCCAAAAGTAACGGTGTTACAGTAACGCGTTACTTGTACCGCGTTAGTCCCAACACTGCTGATGACTGACTTGAAATGGACTAATCTGCAGAATGAGTACTAGGTCTTTTAAGTATATTGTTATGCTAATACTTTTGTACTTTTACTTGAGTAACATTTTGAATGCAGGACTGTTACTTGTAACAGAGTATTATTACACTGTGATACTTTACTTTTACTTAAAGGGGACCTATCATGCAAAATGCACCTTTGGACGTCTTTTATACATGAATATATGTCCCCGGTGTTCCAGGGAACTCACCAAGTGTCAGAAAACACAACCCTCTCTATTTTCCTCCTTCGCCAAATCTCTAAAAAAGTGGCTGAAACGGATCTGAAAAAAACGGATCCAGATTTCAACACTTTCCTACGTCACAAAGAGACGTGCTCCGCTTATTGGTCAACTCTCCACCTATCAGGGGAATGAGCCACGGCCACGTGTATTGCCGGGATCAATACCAACCATCCGGGAGGTGTTTATGAACTTCTCTCAAGTCCAACACGGATATGCCTCCAAGCTAATGCTAAACCCGGGATCAATACCAACCATCCGGGAGCAGGCCAGTGAGGACACATCCAATTATGAAGCTGTAAGTTTTTATTTAGCGGTGTTTTTCCTGATAAAGCTATCTCTAGCTTGTAGTATGTAGCATGTAGCATGTAGCTTCGCCGTATCAATGTCGCCTCAAACCCAAATAGTAATCGGTTAGGTGTTTATATGTTTTTATAACATTTTATATTGTACGCTCCGCAGTCTTTGTTTGTCTTTTATTTTAATTATCAGGCATTTGCTAACATGTTCAGTCATACTGCCGTAATGGCGATCTGTGTGAAGGCTGTAAAGCCACGCCCTAGCCGATAACACAAGTATTTATTCTCCTATTTATTAGTATTTTGTATCCTCTAAAATCATATTGAGTAAGTTATAATAACAAACGTAATCTTCTGTAGGTAAGTGCCGTTTTTTTGCAGCGTTATATGTAAAAGATTTTGTGATTGTAGTCTGTAAGAACGATCAGATCTGTAAGCTAAGCTACGCTACGCTAATGAGACATGCCGTTTTTTGCAGCGTTATATGTAAAAGCTTTTGTGTGTTTAATTGTTTGCGCACATGAATATAAATGGGGGTGTGTGAGGATACAACACTGTGTGTATGTATGCGAGGGGGGGACACACACCACGAGTAAAACGGAGCTAAAGCCCCGTTGGTATGTTGTTGTTGAGGCCTTACCTAGCAACAGGCTAATTAGTGGCTAGCACAAATTACAGTCAGTCTACTGAGCTCAGCCCCTCTCCAACATATCATCTGTATTGAGTCAGAAACACAGCATGCACGTTACGGTTCAAAACTAACTCAGATTGGAAAAGGCTAAGCAAAGAGCTTTGCTAAATAGAGAGTTTTAAGCCCCATCTTTTGGGATTTCAGACTATATTTATCCAAATAGTATTTTCTCATCCTGAATACTAAATTGAGATGATTTTGTTCTAACTATGTTTTCTTCTTTACAGGCCAGCACCTCACATACTTACTAATTAGTGACAATTTGTACATCCTTTGCTATTATTTACATTTTTTTGTATCATGGCGGAAATGAAAGACTGTACCTGGCAGCCCTGCACTACAATGAAAACGCTGAGCGTGCACAAGCCACTACATCCCCTGGAAACCCTCTGTATAAACTGCAGTTCCCAAAGGCCAGGAAGGGAGAATGCAGAGCAAAACCAGTAAAGACTGACCCCACATTCCGTAAGTGTTTAAAATATTTATTATACAACTATTTACAAATATAAAATTAGAAAGAACTTTCAGTTTTTTACATGCATATACTAATCTAAACCACATTTTTTGTTGTGCTTTTTTTTCAACATTGCACAGGCTACGTGGCCAACTTGATGGACCTCATCTTCGACCAAGTCTTTGTGGACCCTGCACCATTATGAGCGACCTGACAGGGACGAGGTCATCGCCGGGTATGCTACACGGTTCAATTTGGCTGCTGTCTGAACCCAACATCGACATTTTGCGGATCAGGAAACTCCTGCCTCCTTGAGGACAACGCAGGCCGGAATCACCACTCTGATCCTGCGTCCAAGGAAGCCCCAGCACCAGCTCACAAAGCTTCTGTAGGCTAGATACCTGTGACGCCTGAAATCATTAAAAAATATATTTAGTGTAATTTATACAAAATACAAGTACATTTAATTTTTTTTTTATGGGTTCAAAGAACCGTTGATTTTGACAATAAAGTTCCGAGTTGATATCAAATGTGTCGTGATTATTCATGTTTGGATGGGTAAAGAATATTCTGATTTCAAAAGCATAAGGTTGTGTGTGGACTTTTTTTGTCGTACACTTGGGTGTGTTATGCCATTGCTGTGTAATAATATATATATATATATAATAGTACATGTACAATGAAAGATTGCATAAAGCCATATACACCAGTATTTATTTCCATGAACAATATTAGCATTCGTTTTACAATTTCAGTCAAAAGAAACAAACCACTCACTGCTCTATTTGCCTCAACTGTAGTCCACCATGTTCAGCTCTGTAAATATTCAATGCATTCTGCAGGGAGAACACATTCAGGCACACAGGCTCCAATCCAGGATGGTCCACCATACAGGTTACAGAGTCCTCAAGTTCCTGCATCCGTCTTGACACCTAGTGTGATAAACATATTGAATGACATGTTAAAAATGCATTCTCTAAACAGACAACTTAGTGAAGCTATCAAAAATGTTACCTGTGGTATCTCTATGCAGCACACATTCTCCGGTTCAGAAGGCATCGTGGCGCAATTTGCACATGTACACCTGTAGAAAGAAGTCAATAACTGAGCTTTTAAAAACACATGAAACTACACACACTGCTGACAACTGAGGTGTTGTTGGAGTTATACTTTTTATCACCCTAAGTTATTGAACTTTCCAACGGTTGTTGCACGATGTTGGAAGAAAAGGGCTGTAAACTATTAATAAACGCAATGAGGCCATTGTATATATGCTGAAAATATGAATGTCTCCCTTTATAAATATATATATGTATCGCTGTTTTTGCGTTACAAGCTCTAAGTTATAAACTGTACACATAGCATTCTTGCTAATTAGCCAAAATGTGAACGGTATAAGTAGCAATCATCGTAACAGAGTAAAATAAATAGGAACAACAGCTTGTCAACTAACCATTCAGAAACGTCCTGCTGCAACCGAGATCTTTGCACCTCCACCAAAACCTCCGCTGCTTCAGGGTCAGTCTCTGGATCAAATTGATAATACGCTTGAACACATGCATTGCTCTGAGATGACATGTTTATTCCACACTCGTAATCACAGCAAGCATGTTAACGTGACTCTCACCGGCTCATGCCCCGCTCTTCTGCAGGGGGGCGTGGTCAGCTGCTGCTCAGAATTTTCAAAGACAGGCTTGGAAAAGAGCGAAAATGAGCGAAACGAGGCATGGCTAAAAAATGATCTGTTTGGTATTTTGAAAAATAAAATGTATAAATATACCTTATATAGGTATGGTCATACACTATATCATTTAAATATAGCATGATAGGTCTCCTTTAAGTACACGATCTGAGTTATTTTCCCACCTCTAGATTTTGCAATATTGCAGATAATACATTTTTGGGCAAACACTTTTATGATACCGACATCATCGCTGGTTCAGCAGGATAATCTCAATGTTAACACCAATTATATGATTCTTTAAGCGTTAATGTAATCGGCAGAAGTATAGTAGCTATCGTTGGGCTAGAAGCAAACTACACCCTGGTCACAGGGCTGTGCAACACCAACGCTAAGCTAAAAACGGCTAATAAAGTGTTTTAGTCTCAACTAATCACTTGTCAGCAGCTACTGTTTTGATGACACATAGAAGCTTGGGACATTCAGCAGTGGAGTTTTCATTGACGTAATTTAGTACCATAGAACAAAACGTTAATATCTCTTCAGCTTGTGTTAACCGCAGATCTTATTTCAGGCATCTACACGGTCAAAAGGACGTGGACTTTGAGATGAGGGAATAATCGGAATGAAAACATGTTAGATCATTTTCAGATTTTGGGACACATTCCTGCATCACTCTGTTGGGCAGTTTAAACTCCAGCGGAGAAGCTAAATATTACACTAGCTTCTTCTAGTTTGGAAACTCTACTCAGCACTGCCAATATGCTTTCCAGTTGCTCTACACTGCATATTTGCATGTCAAGTGATTCATGTTTCAAATGGATTTAAATGTGCCCGGTAGAGTATGTGCCTTGTCCTGGTCTTTGCTGCTGTTATTATTCATTGTTGATAATCTGATTGTACTATTTTTTGTCAGTAGAAATCACTCCTGCAGATTGGACCGTCTTGTGCATGTGCAAATGTGCATCTAGGACACTACATATTCACTTTTACCCCTTTCCCACCAAACCGGTTCCAGGGCCAGTTCGGAGCTAGTGCCCGATTTTAAACCAGTTTTTCCTATTTCTTGGCCCCGGTTCGTATTTGGAATATTTTTGCAATAAGTAGTCAAGATAAAGATAAAATTACACATCTAATACCAGGGAAAATGATCACCTTATGATGCCAAACAGAGTCAATTCAGACTGAAACACATTACCTGATAGTGATGGGGGATATGCATCAGTTACTTTGTTACATTCAGACAGTGATTTACTGCTTTCCAGCAGCCGTTCCCGTCAGTAATCGGCAGAATAAACGACGCTGGATGAGCAGCGGATCACTGTAGGTCGGTAAATGACGCTGAACCACATGGGTAAACAAGGAATTTAAAGGGGACCTATCATGCAAAATGCACTTTTTAATGTCTTTTATACATAAATATGTGTCCCCGGTGTGTCAGGGTATGGAGGACGGAACATGACTTAAGTATAAATAAATAAATGTATGAAGAAATACAGGAATAAATAAATAAATACGTAAATAAATAAATAAATACAGGAATAAATAAATACAGGAATAAATAATTGACGAAATAAATACAGAAATAAATAAATGTTGAAATGAATACACAAATAAATAAATAAAAGAATAAATGCATAAATAAATGCATAAATAAATATGGAAATAAATACATCAATGTATAAATAAATAAATAAAAGTCGAAAATAAAACAGAACACACGTTATTATATATCTTTCATTTATTTCTACATTTACGCGACATACATTTATTTATTTATGTATTTATGTGTCCGTATGCTAATGAGGTGGGCGGTCCTAACCTCAGTCTGAAGCAGGATTGGTTACAGGAGTGTGTGATCATTTCTGGCAGAGGGCTCTACTACTAACGCCTGGATAACCGCGCTGATTCGAATGCAGGAGCTTTACTGTTTAGCCCTTATCTTTATACATCCATGGTTTATCCACAGTTGTAAGGTTTATTTATGGATATTGATTTAAGAGCCATTGGAGATCATTTACGATCATTAGCGGACCATTTAGAGAATGGAGAACCAAAAGACTATGTCCAGTTTCGTGTGGAACGATGTATAGAGGACTTGGCTCAGCTCGACATGGACGTGGATGTTAACCCAGCTGTGTTTGAGAGTCTTCAAGAGGTTGCCCGCCAACTTGAAATCCTCTCGGAAACAGAGGAGGCGACCCTTGGGCGTCCATCTTACATGTTGCCCCTAAACGTTATTGAAGCACATCTTCGTTGGGGCCACACCGCTGGGGACATCGCGCAGGTGTTCGGGGTGTGCGAAAGAACAATTCGTCGGAGGATGACACAGAACGGGATACGGTAGGTTTAATCCGCATTCTTTCACGTTTTTTGTCTGGATTTCCTTACTTTTATTGTTTTGGCGTAGGCTATATCAGTGTACACATTTGTTAGACGCATTAACTTGTGTTTAGTAATGATAACGTTTCATTAGCCTACATTTTCTCCATCCAAATTAGCCTACTTGTTTACATATTTATTAAAATGGTAATAGGCCATTTATATGTTGAAACCAATACATCAGATAGACATGTGTCGGGGCAAAGATACAAACATGCTTTGTACACAAAGCAAAGGTACCATTACCTCAGACATGATGTAGGCCTAATAATAGTAATGAGGTTTAAGAGACCAGCTCATTTGTTTCAGATGACACCTACATCTTTCAATGCAGGTTAGTACAGAGCAACACACTCATTCTGATGTGTTTTGATTGTACAGTGCAAAAGGTGACTATTGTTTATTGTGACTTACTATTGTTTCGTTATTTTTGATGATCAGGGTCCAAGATCTATTAACTCTGTTAGATGACAACAGTTTGGATGAAACTGTTACCCAAATTCTACAGCATCATCCCAACTCTGGATATAAAATGATGGTGGGGTACCTGAATGCACGAGGGATACGCATACAAAGTAAGGGATTGTTATTATTATAATAATCCTCCATGCAGTGTTTTTTTTTTACTACTTGATAATGAATCACATTATTCTGGCATATTTAGGAATGCTTTACTTTTCATTATGTTACTTGCAGTACACCATATCTCTGCATTTCCCCGAATATAACAGGACAGCGTGTCCAGGAATCCATGCGGCGTGTTGATCCAGGTGGAGTCTTGATTCGCACTCTGCAGCTGAACCCAAGAAGGCGTAGGAAGTACTTTGTACCAGCACCGAACAGTTTATGGCACATCGACGGAAATCACAAACTGATTAGGTATAGTATAATCATTAACACTCAAGCATTGCTCAAACATCCACTTCACTACAGTTACAAAAGATGGGACCATCTAAAGTGTTCTTATAATCAATCAGCTTCAATGCAAACCAGACTTCAAGATTCAAAGGCTATATTGTCATATGCATGATAGCTTTTTTTATTGGTTGGTTATGAAAATCTGAAGTCTCAGTCTCCTCTAACAATGCAACATACAATATTCTGTAGACATAAAAACAAGTTAAAACACTGCAAGAAGAAATATAAATGAAATGTATCAAATGATTAATTGCACCAAATTCCTCTGCATGCAAATTACTTTTACTATCAAAATTAAGATGATTTATGTTTTGTAATTATAACTTTTAGTAGGATAAGGCACCTTTTAAAATGTGTAAATGTCTGTACATACATTAGTGGATTGACCTTAATGTGTGCCTATACATATCCCTTTAGGTGGCGTTTTGTTGTGCATGGTGGTATTGACGGCTTTAGTCGTCTCATCGTGTACTTGAGTGCTGCCACCAACAATCGGGCAGCAACAGTTTTAAGAAGCTTTTTGGAAGCCGCCAATGTCTACGGTGTGCCATCACGTGTGAGGTCAGATAAAGGTGGAGAAAATGTTGACGTTGCACGCTACATGGTGGCAACCGAGGAGAGAACAGGAATTCACACATTGCTGGCAGGAGTGTCCATAATCAAAGGTACCTTAAACTTCAAGTCAAACTTTTATCAAATTAAGTCCTTGGTAAAGATTGCAATGTCAACTATATGTCTTTAGCTATTATTAATTGTATTTTTGTTCGTCTTCCGTGAGATAAAACCATAGAACTAAAAAAGTTATATTTCTATAATACAAACACTATAATTATGACACCAACTGTATAATTTGACAAGAAGGATAACAATATTTTTCAAACATCTATTTAGTGGAAGTCCCAGCACGTTGCATGACCGGGCAAATTACTGTTGGAACTTGGATTTTGAATGTATTTTCCAGTCAAGAGAACCTTACATTAATATTGAACAACAACAGTTAATGTGGCATAAATATGGCATTAGTCCGTCTTTTTTTATACATCCATAGTATGTTCAGCTGATATATTTCCTGATCCAGTTTCAACAAAGCTTACAGTATAAAAACCTCACCCAAGTTTGATGAACTTTGCTCAAGCAAAATGATTTTTGCTAAATCCAATTTCCAGCTTTTTTCCAGAGGCATTATTGTGCACTTGCCACTTAATCAGGAACATTTTCCTATTGAAATCGGCAAAAATGTTAATACTTAGCTTCTAATTAATGTAATTCAATTCTAAATTTACTTACCATTTATGGTATAGGTGAAAGGTGATATTTGTAAGTTTTTTTTTTTTGTTCACTGAGCAGACTAAATATTTTCCTTCCTTTTTCCTCAAAAGGATAGAAAGGCTCTGGAGAGACGTTTATGTAGGAGTGCTGGATCTCTTCTACACAATGTTTTTCAACCTAGAGAGAGAAGGCCTTCTCAATCCTGACTGTGAAGTGCATCTCTATGCTCTGCACTGGTGCTTTGTGCCCCACATACAGAAGCACCTGCAGTTTTTCCAGCAAGGCTGGAACTGCCACCGACTAAGCACTGAGGGAAACCGGTCCCCACTGCAACTGTGGACTCGCCATGAGCGTGAGGCCCAGCAGGAACATATACAGGTTTGATTGTATTCAATAGTTTTATTTTGACTTTGACTTTACTTTCCTACATGGGACCATGTTAACACTAATACCCACTTTTTCTGTCATTACACAAACTGTTTAAAACAAATAATACAAGTGAGTATAGTTTCACAATGTAACAAATAGTGGCCTGTTGTCGAGGAAACTGAATGTGATGGAATTATTTTATTCTGCATATCATCGGCACTTTAAACACTTCTATGAGGTATTCCTAAAATGCTGTGATCAACCAGAACAAGCGGTTAAGGAAGATAATGATACATCAGGGCTTTCTGCTCTCTAATGATTTGATTGATGTCAGCTGTTCATGAGACATTAATCAGGAATTCCAGGAGATGATACAAAACGGTTATATAAAATGAATTAACTGACAAATATATTAAAACTTTGATTTTGGTTGACTCTAACTTTAGCTCTTGCAATTGCAGGTTGACATTGAGTTTGGAGTTGACTGGACTGGACCATGTGCTCATCGCCTGCCTCATGTTATGGTTCCTGAAGTTCAGCTGCAACGTTCACTGACTGACCAGGAAGTGGAAAGACTTCCAGACCCTGATGGCCCTCTGTCCAATGTGTCTATACATGTCTATGTACAAACTGTGGGCTTATTGACTGAAATGCTACAGTAAATGTGTGTGTGTATCAAAAGTCTGTTGCTGTGGGAAATGTAGTCTTTTAAAGTTTCGACTAGGACGATTAGGTGACAATATTTGACTGAGTTACATGAAGACGCTGGTACCAAGATTCAGTATATTTCGATTTTAATACAATAAAAATTAGATGGTAATGAAGTTACGTTCAGTAGTCATTTGAAACATGTGTTGCACTGAACATATGCTTGTTGTGAATCAACACTTACTGTAATGCATCAAGAAATATACATTTGTTACAGTTAATGAACATTTTGTAACGAATATCAATTTAAAACTTTGAAAATATATAAAGATAAACATGCTTTCTTTGTTATGTGCAATAACAAGGAAAGCATGTTTATCTTTATATATTTTCAGTGTTACACAAACTGGCCGGAGTATAGGCATTAACTGAGTTTTTTTTCCTCTCTGAAAACATACATTTTTGGCCGGCCAAACAAAAGACAACAAATCTAGTACTAAGGTGTGTCCGTCTCTTCAGACCATCCCGAACCCAGTTTCAGTGCTCCAAATAGCAGCAAGAATGTCCCTTTCAAACATACAGTACTCTTTGTAATGTCCTGGAAGTTTCAGCTGGTGAAAGCATGTGGAAGAGCTGGGGAAGTTGCTCTCCACCACGGTCACATCCAGGCCATGTCTAGGAAGCACATTCCATCCTATCCAGAACTGCACAAGTTTCCCAAGGATAACGGGAGATGCTTTATAAAACAGAGAATAAATTCATTTTATTATAATTGCTTTCAGTTAATAGTTAAATAACAATAATGTTACTTAAATTACGCCTTGGATTGTTACTGTAGCTTGAAAGATAAAAACAGAGGAAGCGCAGCTTTCGTTATAATAATTACAAACTTTCAGTAAACAAAGCTTGAAGACGTTGTTTTACCCATCTCAATAAATGTGCGCAGGAATCCTGTGAGCCTACAGGAATCCTCCAAAGAGACTTCACTGTCTTCATCCTCATCCTGTGTGGGCCAGTTTATCTTCTCCAACACCATCTGACAGATTTCGTTTTGAAAGGAGCCCAGTGAAAGCACAATAATAAACAGAACATACAAGAAACTGCAGGTTTTGCTGTGTAGCAGCAGAGTAGTCTAAAGATACAGTTCTATTGGTTTAGCTCCTTTTAAGCAGCAAGTAGCATCATTTCATTTCAAAATATGTTTGCGTAGGTGAATGTTTGTTTTAATAAACTTAAAGCAATGTAGGTCTGAGAGTAGTAAATAAACCCAATTTCTAACTCCTGTGAGTTAGGAGGAAGGATTTGACTGAGCAGCATGAGATCACTTACCCGTGGTGTGCACTGCAAATCAGATGCTCTTGGAAAGAGAAGGGGAATCGTGTCTTTCCTCTCCGTCAGCAGAGGCCAGATCAGTGTCTCTTTTAAACCCCTTCGTAACTGCTTGACTTGTCTGGAGGTTCTTCCAAGGACCTGCACAATATTTGCATCACAGTAGAAAAGCAAAGCAGCCTGATTGATCTAATAGCCCAATAAGCATGTTTTAATACACTATTAACATCCAAATATGTATTTAACAAAAAAGCTCAAATGTGATATGCCAAAATGAGGTCCTACTTCAAAACTTCAACTCTGATTAGTCAGTCTGATTCATATGACCTGTTAAGAATACTCACAGCATGGAGGATCAGTTTATCAAATAGCCATCTCCTGTTGTCACATGTGACTAGAGGCAAATCCCAGGACAGTGCCAACTCATTGATGAGCTTTTTTTCTTCTGATGATAACTCTGCTGTTCCCTCCAGCTAATAATGGCAAGTAGAATGAATTTGATAAGAATCGTTAATTTCTCAATACTTGTATAAACATTCAACTTTGATACAACATAAGAAGTTTAACTTATAATCAGCATGTTAGTTGGTAACCTGTAAAAGCTATGTTTTGTCAAAAAACATCTTATAGGAGGACATCTGTAAGTGTTCTAATGATATTTAATATATCAGTGCATGGTGTTTTATAATGCTTCAGTAACTCCTGCTGGTGCAAAGTGTAGCCACTTGATGTTAACAGTATCTGAAAGTAGATCAGCTAAATAAATAATATCCAAAGGTTGAATAATAAAATAGGTTAGAAAAACATTGAACATACCAACTTGATTGTCTCACGGATATCAAGGTCAACACAGTCCTTAATATCTATTGTGGCTTCTTCTGGGGATCCACCAAAGAGCACATGCAGGACAGCTGGGCTCAGTCCACCTAGGCATGGCCCATCATGGAGGAATGAATGTCCAATCATTCGGCCAGCAACAACAAAGAAGTCACTCTCCAAAAGGAGATGAGAAGTGGAGGGAATCAGATGATCTTGTTCTCTTTCAAAAAGAAGAGTTCCTCCAGGCACTGCAAATATAGGAAAACAGTCAAAGTAAATTGATAGTAAAGTAAAGGACATAGATATTCAACTATCACAAAGCATTAGTAAAGGAATGATCAAACCGCCACTGGATACTGGTTGATCCTGTAGAAACCTACATGTTCACAGCAGCTACAATCACATCAGGTTTTAGGAATACGTTTTGTTTTCTGGGGTTAAGGGACAGATCTGTGTTCAGCCTGGAACTGGTACAAAAACACACATAACTTAGTGGCTGAGACCCAGCGATCAGCCATAGTAAATATTTACTTACCAAACTTCATCTCAAAACCAGCCTGAAGTTTTGACATGATGGTTGCAAAGAAATGCCGAGTCACACCATCACCAATGGCTGGATCTCCTTAAAAATGTAAACACACACTACAGACATCAGTTTAACGAAAATATGGTTTGTTCATTTTTTTATCTTGGATTTTGTTTGTAACCGAATTACCCTTAAGTGTGCATGTCAAGGGGCAAGCCCACTCAACATTTGCCTTCTTATAAAAAGTAAGGACTGCTCTTTCCCTTTCCGCTGCACTGTCTCCAAGATCCATAGTAAGACACAAGGATTTTCCAGTTGCATGCTGGCTTAAAATGTCTTCTTTAAACATCTTTGCTGCCTCTGTGGGATCTGGTGCTATTCTCCAATCTAAAAATAGTTTAAAAGGTTTCCAAATTAATATTGGATCAAGTGAAATGTAGAGAGCAACAACTTATTGCAATACATGATGTACTTAATAAAGGATGTTACACACCAGAGAAGCCACTTTCCTCAGTGGGATCGATGTCAACTACCTCAGGAGAAGGCAACATTTCCTGAGGTGGCACCGAGTGTCTTGTGTTCCTGGCCCTTGTTGTCTCATTTCCCTGTGCTCCTGTGAACGTGCTTTCAAATCTAACTTGACTTCCGGAGGCCCTTTCAGTTGTCAACTCAATCTGTACCTCACCGCTGCTCTGTGATGGTCTAGTGTAAAAAGAGGTTATTTCTGTTATTTGGTCTAGTATACTTTACATTACATATCACACTCTAGAAAAAGATGGGCATATACATAGAATGAAAAGTAAACCAAATGTTACTTTTCCTCAAAACCAACATCCAGAATGTATATCTTTCATATTTAAATGTATTATAGAGGACAGCAGAATATGGTGTTACAGAGGGATTGTTGGAACAAAAAGTACTAATATCTGGCCCCATAATTATAAAACCTCAGATGTGCTGATATGTCAAAATATTTTACATCCATTTGCAGCATCCCACAGCCTTATGCTTATTGGTTATTGTGTGTCTACACATGCAGTTGCAGTGTGCCTGGCGAATGTGATGTTTAGTTCTGTAGAGAGTAATACCTCGTGCAGTTATTGCTGTGATCCTTGATTCTGGAAAAGGGGAACTCCTCTCCACAGATGACACATTTCTGATTTGGTCCAATTAACACGTTGTCGCCTTCTGATCGACATGCCTGTAAACAAAATAGTTTTAAACTACATCACAAGCGAACAATTATGTTACTGTAAGTCACAGATTCCACTTTAATATTGTGACACCACTATAGAAGTGAGGAACTTACAGGGTCCAAATTCAGGGTTCTTTGCATTGGTCTAATGAAAACCGTAGAATGGCCAATCTGGGTCTGAGGGTCCTTCAAATATCTGACATAGTAACCCTCATTGGGACAGGGGATCACAATCAAGTGGCGACTTCTCGTAGTGCCAGATATTTTTAGCAACTCGAAACCGCCACCGTTCCGCAGTTTTGGATAGGCATCCATCAAGAATTCGAGGAATTCATTTGAATCTGTATGGCTGCCTAGAAATAGATGATACACATAAGAGATCTAACATAAAGATAATGTTATGATTGTAAGGGTGACTCAATATATTTATATATCACAAATGTACATTTACCATAAAAAATAGACAGAAAAGGAAAGAGCGATTGATAATCGTCATTCTAATGACTGACAGACCTTTAAATGTGAGCCGTTTTTCACCAAAGCCAGCAGCAGCGAGTCTTTCTTTGGCGTATCGGTTGGGGACTAAGGCTGCATTCTTGTCCTCAAGGCAACAGAATAAATGGGTATAAGAATGCAGGTTTGCAGGACCAGAAAGGGTTTGCCGCCCTGCCGTCCTCCTCCCTCCCATGTAGGGGCCAAACAGTCTTGAAACTTCGGCTAGGATCAAGTTAAGAAGATAAGCAATATTGAGTGCAAGGAAATAATGATTCAACGAGAATCCAGGGGGGAAATGTTGGTTAGCGTTAGCATCACACACTATAAATATAATGATCCCTTCAAGCTGGTGGACAGAAACTGAATCAAATAACTTGTCATTGGCGATATAAACTTAGTAAACTGATCGGATTTGCATTACAAATAATTTGATGCAAAGACCTACCGTCCACTGGGTGTCTGGGAGTCCCGTTATGTAACGGATGAGGAGGAGGAGACGAAACTGGCGCGTTAGCGGTCCTTGGTGCTGCACAAAACATAACATAGCGCCACATTGGGTACAAAACTGTACATTGGCATTTTAACACACAGATCAGTTTTTTTACATTGTCATATCAGTCTTACACTAGACCAAAACATGAGTCACTTACAGTTTTCAAGCTGGTTAGCCGCATCCCGCAGAAGGTCTGCCAGCGCCCTTCCAGCCGAAGCCATTATTAGCGAGTTGCCGACAATGTACACAGAATGTACAGATGTGACTTGCCACGAATCTATTGCTTCTGCCTGGCTCCAACAATTGGCGAATCCTGCTTCAGACTGAGGTTAGGACCGCCCACCTCATTAGCATACGGACACATAAATACATAAATAAATAAATGTATGTCGCGTAAATGTAGAAATAAATGAAAGATATATAATAACGTGTGTTCTGTTTTATTTTCGACTTTTATTTATTTATTTATACATTGATGTATTTATTTCCATATTTATTTATGCATTTATTCTTTTATTTATTTATTTGTGTATTAATTTCAACATTTATTTATTTCTGTATTTATTTCGTCATTTATTTATTCCTGTATTTATTTATTCCTGTATTTATTTATTTATTTACGTATTTATTTATTTATTCCTGTATTTCTTCATACATTTATTTATTTATACTTAAGTCATGTTCCGTCCTCCATATCAGGGAACTCACGCAGCGTCAGAAAATAAAACCCTCTCTCCTTTCCTCCGTACCCAAATCTCTAAAAACGGGGGTACAACGGAGCTGGTCCAGATTTGCGTCCGATATGACGTCATATCGGCAATGCAGACCCACAGCACTATCAGAAACGTTACTACCACAAACAATGCCCGACTGTTTTGGACGTAATATGGTCGGTGTTTACATTAGCATCGCTAACACTCAGAGCTAACCTGTACTGGAGAGCATGTGTGTGAAGAAGCAGGAAATAAAAAGGAACTCACCTTGTGGTATAACCGGCAAGAGAGAAAGCCTTTGCGCTCCATACTGTTTCAGAGATAATCCTTGATCATCCATGATATGGCGTTTCATCACGGCAGTATCTGCCGGTAGAATCTCCCGCAAGATTAGAAATAGAGTGATATGCAGTGATGCAAATTAGTCGCTTTTCGGCGCCTCCCGCTTTTTTAACGATGATTTGGGTGACTTGTGTAATTCGTGGAGAACCGAAGAGTTTTCGTTTTGGGGGGGTTCGTGGGGGGGAGTCCGTCAGACTGACGAACAACTTCTCACTTCAAAAAAAGAAGAAATCTAGATCGCAAAACAATTAAACAAGCGAGTGCCTGTTTTTCCTGGCCAAGGACAGGTTCCTTTAACACAACACGAGCGTAACGTGGTTATGTCTCGTCTGAAAGGAGTGTAGACTAGAGTGCTGACGGAGAGCACCAGAACGCCGCTCCAGCTCTTCAAATATTGCAGTACCCATAAGGAGCCGTACACATGCCGCAGTGTTTGCGTGGCTGTGTCTTTAGTTGTAAGCACAGTGGCGATCTGTTGTTATTAGCATCTGGTTAGCTAGCTATGCTAACGAATTTAAAGAGCTTTTCTACAACCAGGTGGAAGAAAGTTCTCTCCTGAGAGGCTCAAATAACCTCAGCTCAGTGAGGTTAAGGCACACCTTGATATGATCATTATAGTTATTAATGAGACATTAGAGAGTAAATGAAAAACAAGTATAAAATACTATATGACAGTAACACATTTTATTAAATTGTTAAAAAGAACAAGAATAGAGTTTAAAAGGGGAGTGATTTGTAAAATATCCAAAAAGAAAAATCTGCTTAGAGTTCTGTTTCATATAGGTGTTGAGAGATGTATCCATAGATCTCTTCATTTTGCTCTCAAAGTGCACCAGATTGATGCTTTTAACTTCAATATTTAAAAATAAATCAAGAGGTTGCTTTTTCTTTGCACAGCATGAAAGAAAGGCCAAATGAATGGGCTGTGATTTTAGTTTTTTTAAGCAGAGGTTGAGTTCAATAATTTGTACGACCCTCGGAGGATGTTGTAAAAATTGAAAGGAAAAAGGTTCCCCACCCCTGCTGTAAATAATAATAAAACCCCATTGTTGTTGTGAGTGTCGTTGCTGAGAAAATCAGCAACGTAAACGGTGATGTCATGACCTGGCACCAGTCAGGCACCAGGCAGTGGAAACACAAATGGTTCCTAAACTGGGAACTAGTTCCGAACTAAAACAGCTAGAACTGGAACCAGTTTGGTGGGAAAGGGGGTATCAGTTCTCCAAAGTAAACTCTGCTATCAGATTCTCACGGATAATAATTTAATTTTTTTTTTAAGACTGAGAGCAGCACTACTTAAACCTTATTGTTTTTATATTTGAATGAATGTACTGCATTATGATTGAGCTCATTTCCAATTCACAGGATTACCATTCAGTTCCACGCGCTGCAGCCTCACCAGGTGGGGAAGAAGGGGACCGTCATGAGCTTCTTGTAAAAGATGTTTCTGTGGTGGAGACGTTACACAATGTGATTCATGAAAGAAGTAAAGACAGCATAAATCAGTTCGAAACAAACACCAAGTAAAAGACAGTCATATTAAGGTCAGGTACTGTATTCATGTAATACCCAGGCGAGCTGTCTAGTTCATGTTTTAGACATCTGCAGTAAAACATGATGTTGATAACTTCTATTTTTAATAATTAAAAGACCTGTTGCTTTTGTTACTATCCCTGAAATCACTTGTGTCACATATTCTTGTGTCACATATTGCTGAATGTCGGTATTGTACTGAGAGTTTGGACTCCCATTGTAATCTAATCTAGACATTAACACAAAGTAAAATGCTATAAACTGATTTTCAGTTTGATGGTTGCCAACACTAAGATCTTCCTAACCTGTTATCCAGTCAATTTAGTTTAGGATGAACCTTTGTACTCTGTTGATGGGATTGAAACAAGTTCACGAGTAATGCATTACCTATACAAAGTTTGTATCCCTCTATTACCCAGAGGGGGTTAGTTTGAATAGTGGCATTTTATTTGAAACACAATAAACAAACATTCTTAATCTTTGAATTCCTGAGTATTATTTTGTATATGTTTTTATTTAGTTGAACTAATGAAATTATCTTGGGAGGGTATCTTTAGAGATGCATTAGTGTCTTACCCTTGGGTCCTGACCTCTAATTGGTGTATTCCTGTTTTATGTGTTCATTTATGTCTGCAGACTTTCTGTAATCTTTCACAGAGCCATACAATTATTAATCAGTACAATTAAATCCTATTTTTGATCATATTTTATGTGTAAAAAACATGTATAATACAATGTTACTTAACCCTTTAACTTATCTTTTAAAGACAAACAGCCTAGAGATCATTTTGAGTTATGTAAGCAGTCACCTTCCACCCAGTGCTCCACGGTCTCCTGTTGGACGTTTTGTTAAACGTTTCACTTGTGGAGACCAGAGAGTACAAGAGGATTCACTCTTAAATACTACTTTCACTGAATTCCTGTTTCACACCCCCCAGCTCTCTTTTCTCTGACATCTACTCCACATGTGTTTGTCCTAGCTAACTCATTAGCTTCCAAACAGCCGTGGGCTAAGCCGGACTCTGACCTGTATGCTCTGTCTGCTTGTTCCGTCAAAACCAACTAAACGCTAAATTAATGTGATCTTTGTCATCTTTGCTCTTAAACGTAACGTTTTTAAAGCTGTGGTCCCTACAAATGAGTATCATTAGTATGTTAAAGGATAATGCAAACTCTCAGCTTGTGTCCGTCATTGTTTTCACGTTTTATTATTAGAACGTAAAACAATCCTTTAAAGTACTAATACCACATTACAAACACAAGGTTCCAAGAAAAGTTCTGCAATCGAAAAAGTTATTTCACTAAAAATAATATCAGGAGTATAACCAGGAAAATGTATCTTAAGTATGTAAAATCATAGATGAGAAACTGGAACAATTACTATGTTTTGAATTAATTATGATTTAAAAATTGTTATAATTGACTGGCTAATAATTTATGTGATAGTAGACATATACTTTGTTTGGTGTACTTATTATGATTCATGTCATTTTATAATTTTGTCTTCTCTTTCTGAAATATAGTGGAGTACAAGGTTAGGATAGTGCTAGCATCATCCTGTTCTCTGGTGACAACAAAGCACAGGCAGACCATTCCCTCTAAGCCAGCATGACGTTGATATTTTTTATCTTAATATATTTTGCCTATAACCCCAAAACATTGCTATTGTGTTAGCACTTGCAGTTATAGTGGGAAGCACTCAAGTACAATTTTGAGATAATTGTACTTTACTTGAGTATTCCCATATTTTTGCTATACTTTGTAATTCTCCACTACAGTTCAGAGGTAAATGGTGTACTTTTACTCCACTACATTTCTTTAACACCTTTAGTTACTTTTCCGATGTGGATGAATGATGTGAAATATGATCAAGTCACGTGTTGAATCAGACTTTAGTTCCACCTGGAGTAAATCCACCAGCTACCCTGCAGAATACAAAGTCATTCAAACTAGCTGCACCTTTACCAGCTTTGAGAACACTTTCATGATCAATCATTATAAAACATATCATATATATTATTCTGAAATGGACCAATCTGCATAGTGAGTACTTTTAGTTTTGCTAAGTATATTCTGCTGCTCATACTTTTGCTACTTTTACTTGAGCAACATTTTGAATGCAGGAATGTTACTGTAACAGTCTAGAGTATTCCTGGGTCATTCCAGAATTGGAGGACAATTTAGACACCAACATTTTTGAAAAATTAACCTTTTATTTTATAATTTTTTTTAATGTATTTATGAAAAACAGATAACAAACCATCAAAAAAAGTGATTTGCCCAGCTCGGCATCAAATTAATATTTTCCAATGAAGAATTACCCCTGTTACTCTAATTATAGTAACAGGGTTGAAAATCAATGCTAATTTGAGCTTTAACCTCAGGAATTATTGCTAGATGTAGCATGTAATGCTATACTTTCAAGGCAAGGACACACTTGGATATCTAATGCAAGAAAGATAACTTTGAAATGAATATGCTTTATTCTGATAATATCAGTAACAGGGTTGAGTAGGTCAGAGTGCCACATTCTTTTAAGACTGAAAAGATTGTAAAAATATGAAAAATAAAAGAGAGGACTTAGTTTTGGTCTACCCATGGCACTCGCACATGGCTTGCTGATGTCCTTTCCACTGTGTCATCTGACTTACAGTTTGTTCACTTCCTGTGCCAATCTAAAAAGGTTTGGGTAACAGGGTTGAACGCATGTTGAGGGACACACCTTCTGTGCAAAATTACTGTTATCTAAAATATGTTTATGATTTAACAAATTGATTTTACCATTACAAGAGACATATATCAATAGAATAATACCAACAAAAGTAAATAAAATCCCTATTTTAAATGTTATATTTGACATTCAAGTTGGTCACCAAGAAGCGGGGACAAGAGAAAAATGCCATTTTAGGGGATGTTCGAGAGCTATTTGATCATTTAAATAATATTTTGAAACCACTTTTTCTACAAGTTTATATACATTTTGTCTCAATACAAGTATGTTTAACACAACAAGTGCATGTTTGAGCATTTTGGGCATGGATTATTAGATTTTTATATGGGGGACATGAAATGTCCTCCAATTCTGGAATGACCCTCCTACACTCTGGTACTTCTCCCACCTCTGCAGGTTAATTGAACTAGATTCCCACAGTCTGTATTGTACTGAATGAAAAAAAGAATCCGGCAACATGAAGAAAGAGCCTGAAAGAGGAAGCAGTGTAAGCGGGGGTGTGGGGGCTGGTCAGAGGCTGGTATAGAGGAGCATAGATATATATATATAAACACTAGATGGCTCAAGGGGGAGTCGGCAGTGTAGCTCACCGGCGGCCATCTTGCCACAGTCAACAACTACTGCTACAGCTGTTGTGAGGCGAGTGATCTGCACAAAAATACTCTTAACTCGCTGAAATCTTAACTGATTTACAAACGGTTTGGTTTATTATAAACGTTATTATCATGGCTATGATACAGGAGACAACAAGACATGTTGGAGAAAAAAAAAGTTAATGATTATAATTATAAGTATGCAGTATCATAACTACATCTTTGATGTTTATAACGAACCAAACCGTTTGGAAATTGGTTGAAAATGGAGCAATCTACGGTTATTTCAATAGTGCACCATAGACATAATGTTATGAATGAGCGAGCTGCCTGTGGCAAGATGGCCGCCATGTGGCAACGTCGGTCTCCATTGGCCAGCAGCGCGGGTGAGTCATCTAGTGTTTATATATCTATGGAGAGGAGGGCCCTCCGTCAGCCCGTCCGTCGCTGCAGTGACGTGAACCATCTTGGTCAAGGATCTTTGGTTCCTCAGGCAGCGCACTGAGCAGGGAGAGTTTGTGCTGCAGCAGCCATGGCGGTGGAGCTTTACTTGGACCTTCTTTCTCAGCCCTGCCGCTCAGTTCTGATCTTCGCGAAGAAGAACAACATCCCGCATGAAGTGAGGAACATCTCGCTGATGGACGGTGAGTGGAGCCCCCCCTGCTGACAGTCCTCCAGCCTGTCTGCACTCGGTAGGGTCTGCAGCATGCACAGCTGCTGAGGGTGGAGGGAAGAAGGGTCCACAGTCCAACTGAAACTGTACACTTATTGCATATAACTTTTTATAGAAGCTGCTCTTTTTCACAAGGTTGTATTCTCACAGCAGCAATGGTGGCAGCATTTGGAAACTCTCTTTTAGTTTTGTTTGTAAGACAGAGATCTGTGATTTATTACATTGGTGGCGTTCCAGTTCACTTTTTCTCAAGAAAACTATCTTTAATTGTACAGGCATGAGTTTAACAGGCTGTACGATATGTTTGTGTTAGAATTAGTTTAGAGCAGTGTTGTTAAATAGTTATCAGATCAGAAGTTAAAGCATTACTACCACACTGTAAAATCATGTTACAAGAACATTTCAGCATCGAAAATGCTATCTGAGGAAAATTATTAATAATAAATAAATAAAGTATTAAAAATAAAACAATTAAATGCAGAACAATCCTCTGTGTTGAGAGACTGGAACACCTTTCTTAGAAGAACCTAAAGTATTTCACTTCAATCTGGGGAGGCTGCTTTCTGTCTTTACGGCTTCCAAACTGTGGAACAGGATCTTAGAACAGCAAACCACCTTGGAATATTGAAAAGTAAATACAATAGCTATATTTGTATTTGAGTGGTATCACTGTTCATGTCTACGGTTTTGTGATATAACCCTTTCTGTTGTGAATGATTGCGATTCATGTCATTTTACAAACTCTTCTCCCTTCTGAAATGTGGTGGAATAGAAGTTTCAACTAGCATGAAAACAAAGAGCCTCAGATGAAGTTAAAAGTACCTGAAGTACAGTACTTCACATTCCACCACGGCTTTAGAACCAAAACAATACACTTGTTTTGTATGTGTACCAAAATGATACTTATTTGTATCCCTCTCAATCTCCAGGGGGTCATTAGATGATTAAGAGGATGAGAAAGAAAACATTAATTTGTGTGTGTGTGTGTGTTTCAGGTGAGCAGTATGGAGATCCCTTTGGGAAGATAAGCCTGATAAGAAAAGTCCCTGCTCTGCGAGATGGAGACTTCACCCTGACTGAAAGGTGCATGTTTGAATGTTCTCTAGAGCTCATTATCCCATTCATTCAGTGTCCTGTGTGTTCCCTTTGTGTACCCCGTGTGTAGTCACCAGCTGTGTTTCTGTGCAGCCCAGCCATCCTGCTGTATCTGGCGCAGAAGTTTCAGACCCCAGAGCACTGGTACCCAGCGGACCTCCAGCAGCGCGCTCGCATCGATGAGTATCTGTCCTGGCAGCACTGTGCCATCCGTCTGCATGGATCCAAGGTGTTCTGGCTCAAGGTAGGTTCACTGACACCCTGAGGTGGAAGAAGTACTCAGATCTTGTACTTGAGTAAAAGTACCAGAGTGTAGGAATACTCTGTTACAGTAAAAGTCCTGCATTCAAAATGTTACTCAAGTAAAAGTAGAAAAGTATTGGCATCAAAATA